ATCTCTCCCTCTCTCCCCAGTTCCTGAGAAGGCAGGGGACACTCAGGGCTATGCAGGGCTGGGGGAGGCTCAGTAGATCTGAGAATGCAGGGAGTCGGGGACGGTCTGGTTTTAACGTTTCTTCTTGGCCTTTAGTGACCCGATGAAGCGAATAACTCCAAACACATTCTACAACCAGTTCCACAACAGAACTGGTCAGAAGGACACCTGGCTGTGCTTTGAGGTGAAAGAAAAGGAGAATAGCAACTCATCTGGCTCCTGTCCCAGGAGAGGGGTCTTCCGAAACCAGGTATGACCCACACTCTGCCCACATCCCAGGCAGGAGCTAAGGCCACTGAGAAAGCACCAGACAGAGGAAGAAGCACAGTGGCAGACAGTAGGTGCACAGGGGGCTGATGGTTCCCACTATTTTTTTTTTTTTTTGAGACAGAGTATCACTATGTTGCCCTTGGTAGAGTGCTGTGGTGTCCCAGCTCACAATAACTTCAAACTCTTGGGCTTAAGCAATTCTCTTGTCTCAGCCTCCCAAGTAGCTGGGACTACAGGCACCGCCACAATGCCCGGGTATTTTTTTTGTTGCAGTTGGCATTGTTTTAGCTGACCCAGGCCAGATTCAAACTCACCAGCCTGGGTATATATGGTCGGCACCCTACCCACTGAGCTACAGGCACTGTGGCCTCCCCACTTTATTAAGTCCTTGACTGCGATGTTGTGTCTGGACTTCCCTGGTCTGTGATGACCCTGGCATGGGACTTGTCACTAAACTTGGTGTCCAGCAGGCTGCAGGGCAGGGCACTACGGAGAGGTGGACTGTGGCTCTGGACACAGTGAGGCTGCTGGACTTGCAACCCCTCCCCTGATTCCTCCACATCACACCACAGTGACCTCCCCAGCACCGTCCCAGCTACCTTTACCTCCCTCACATATCAGGCTAGCGGGTACAGATCCAGCCTGGGCCTTCTAAACAACAATGACAACTGCAACAACAACAACAAAAATAGCCGGGCACTGTGGTGGGTGCCTGTAGTCCCAGCTATTTGGGAGGTTGAGGCAAGAGAATAGCTTAAGCCAAAGAGTTAGAGGTTGCTGTGAGCAGCGACGCCACAGGCCTCTACCAAGGGGGACATAGTGAGACTCTCAAACAAAAAAGAAAAAGAAAGAAATGCTATTACCTTTGTCCAGTCCCCATACTAAGAAGGTGGTAGAAACTGGGGAACTAATCTTTATATCTTGTTTAGTTCAGTGTCTGTAGTATAATATTTCAACCTTTGGTTGATATAAATTCCTCATGAGACAGTCAGTGTCCCTTTTATGCTTTGGTGGTTTTTTTTTTTTTTGAGACAGAGTTTCACCTTGCCACCCTTGTTAGAGTGCTATACCGTCATAGCTCACAGCAAACCTCAAATTCTTGGACTCAAGTGATTCTCTTATCTCAGACTCCTGAGTAGCTGGGACTACAGGTGCCCACTACAATACCTGGCTATTTTTAGAGACAGGGGTCTCGCTCTTACTCAACCTGGTCTCCAACCTGTGAGTTCAGGCAATCCACCCACCTTGGCCTCTCATAGTGTTAGGATTACAAGTGTGAGCCACCGCACCCAGCCTTTTTATGCTTTGAAATAAGCTGTGTATTTCAAATGTACCCTTGTCTCAATTCAGAGCCACATTTCAAGTGCTCAGCAGCCACCCAGGTCCTGTGGCTCCCATGGGTGATGCACTTCCACAGCTCTGCTCAGCATACAGCAGGCAGGGACCAAGCCCAGCCCATGGGTGGGGCAGGTGCTCAGGGTGCCTCCTAGGTGGACACCAGGAGCAGGGCGGATAGAGCCCATGCAGGGGTCACAAATAGGGCCAGGGGAACTAAAGGACAGAACAGAAGAGGGCAGGGGTGAAGGAGGGAACCTGGAGGAAGCAGGTGCCCTGAGACTCCTGGCCTGCCCCCTCCTACCACTGCCCCACCCCTGCATTCTGCCTGCCCCTCCACCCAGAACACCCGCTTCCATTCTCCTCTCCCAGGGCCCTCCCAGTACTCCTTGCCATGCAGAAGTACGCTTCTTCACTTGGTTCCAGAAGGTGCTGTCCCCTGACCTCCACTACCAAGTCACCTGGTACATATCCTGGAGTCCCTGTGCTGACTGTGCAGATCTTGTGGTTGATTTTCTGGCTAAACACAGAAATGTGAACCTGACCATTTTCACTGCCCGCCTCTACTACCACCATATCCCAGAAATGCATTGTGGACTTCGCAGGATGTATGAGGAAGGGGCCCGTGTGTACATCATGTCTGTTAAAGGTGAGAAGCGGGGGTCAGAGTTATGGCTGTGGTAGGGAGTATGGGGAAGTCCAGGGTCTGGATGCCAGAGGAGGATGAGTGTCCCAGGGGAGCCTGCCCAGGTCTGACCCAGCCTTGGGACAGCAGGGGAGAGGAGCCTGCTGGGACCTGATTGCTTTCTCCATGCTTTGATTTTAGAATTTGAATACTGTTGGGACAACTTTGTGTACAACAAGGGAAAGCAATTTGTGCCTTGGAATGGATTGAATGAAAATTATAAATCCCTGGTCTCCAAGCTGAAAAAGATTCTCGGGTAAGCGGCTTCCTGGCACCAGATCCTATCTCCCTGGCCTCTAATCTCCCCCTCAGCCTTTCCTGGGTCCCTGACCCTACACACTCAGGCCTGGACCTCTTGCCCTGGTGCTCCCCCCATCTCAGGATGGTCACCCACTGCTGCTGCTACCGGTGGAACTTGGCAGTACTCCGAACCCTTACCAGTGCCAACAGACCTTCTGGAAGAGCAATAGCTAACATTTCCCCTTTTTCCCTGGGGCCCCTGACCTGGCTCCTTCCAACAGACCACAGTTACGGAGCCCAGTCAGTAAACTGAAGGCAGACAGGTCTGAGTATGCATAAGGTGACACTCAGCAGCTTTGAGAAGCATCCTCTCTGTAAGCTGACATGCTAATCAGGTCCTTCTAGTCCTAGCCAACTAACGCAGCCAGTGGGGAAAAGCACTTGGTACAAAACACTGCTCCAGAAACGTGTCTGTGGGGGCCTGCCTGCTGCTGCTGCCACTGTACCCTGAAGCCCATTTTCTCTGCAGCCTCTGAGATGACCTGCTCCAGTCCAGGATGGTCACCCACTGCTGCTGCTACCGATGGAACTTGCCAGCACTCCAAACCCTTACCAATGCCAATGGACCTTCTGGGAGAGCAGTAGTTAATATTTCCCCTTTTAATAAAACTCCCCACCTTCTCTTTGTTCTGAATTTTAATTTTCTCTTCCCAAATACAACATTAAAGGGAGATTGGCCTCTGATTTTATTTGACTTCTACACTCAGTGTCACAGCGGATCCAAAGCTGATTTGCCTTGGGGAGAATCACAGGGTTTGGGGACTATGCCGGAGCTACCCACACTGGTCTCTCTTTCCTGCTCTTTGGACAGAACTCCCAGATTTGTCTTGTGTTGTTTGATTTTTTGATGGAATTGGGCAGGGATCTTCCCCCTTATCTTGGGGAGCCCTCCTGGCAGAGAAGGTTATTTCCTCCTGTTGAGGGCAGCTGGGAGCTTAGGAAAGATGAGGTTTGGGTGAGAGGAGAATTTTCCCCCTCTTTTGGAGAAGGCTATTGGATTTTTCCGAAGTGTGTGCTTTATCAGTTCCTCTGTCTCATTGGCCTTTGTATACTCAGCACTGGCTTTTAATCGGTCTTGATTTTTTTCCTAGAAACTAAACCACCTAGATAAATATAGTTACAAATAAGCAGGCAAAGATCAAAGGCATGTCAAGATATTTTCTTGAACTGTAGAGTGTAACATATTGAAACTTTACAGGGTTGAGCATTCAATCTCTTGCTCTTAACACTAAGCTAAAAGACTGTAGCTATAAAATCGTGTTCTCCACATAAGATATACATATCTCTGGGAGGCACCTGTGGTTCAAAGGAGTAGGGTGCCAGCCCCATATACCACAGGTGCCGAGCCAGAAACCAAATCTTTCAGTCACACTTACGCTTTGGGAGGCCAACACCAGAGGATCCCTTGAAGATAGGAGTTTGAGGCTTGGTGCCTGTGGCTCAAGCAGCTAAGGCACCAGCCACATACACCTAAGGTGGTGGGTTCAAATCCAGCCTGGGCCCGCCAAATAACAATGATGGCTACAACCAAAAAATAGCCAGGCGTTGTGGCGGGCACCTGTGGTCCCAGCTACTTGGGAGGCTGAGGCAGGAGACTCGCTTGAGCCCAGGAGTTGGAGGTTGCTGTGAGCTGTGATGTCACGGTACTCTACCCAGGGGGACAGCTTGAGGCTCTGTCCCAAAAAATAAAAAAGATAGGACTTTGATTCCAGCCTTGGTAACATAGAGAGATCCCTATCACTACAAAAAACTAAATTAGCCAGGCCTTGTGGCCCCTGTTGTCAAACTAAAAGTGGCTCCATCGCCCGTCACTATAGCCAAACACAGAGACAAGAAATAGATCAGTGTGTAGCTTTATTATCAGCTACTTGGGAGGATAAGGTAAGAGATGGCTTAAGTCCAAGAGTTGGAAGTTGCTGTGAGCTGTTACATTATTGCACTCTATGGAGGGTGACAGAGTGAGACTCTGTCTCAAAAAAAAAAAAAAAAGAGAAACTGAAACAATAACTGAAATGTAGCAATGATCCAAAAAGGTACATTAAGGTCTTAAATAGCCACAATAATTAAAGAAAGTATGTCGGGGTCTTACAGCTGCATTAATTACAGTTTCCATTGTGTGCCATCACCTCCCAAGCTTCCCTTTAAGATTACTTTTCTTTTCTTTCTTTTTTTTTTTTTTTTTTTTGAGACAGAGCCTCAAGCTGTCCCCCTGGATAAAGTGCCATGGCTTCACTACTCGCAGCAACCTCCAACTCCTGGGCTCAAGCAAGTCTCCTGCCTCAGCCTCCCAAGTAGCTGGGACCACAGGTGCCTGCCACAATGCCTGGCTATTTCTTGGTTGCAGCCATCATTGTTGTTTGGCGGGACCGGGCTGGATTCGAACCCGCCACCTTAGGTGTATGTGGCTGGTGCCTTAGCCGCTCGAGCCACAGGTGCCGAGCCAAGATTACTTTTCTTTACAGCCCTTTTCCAGCTGGGCCTGTGCTCCTGCACCTGCAACTCAGTTTACATCTCCGTTCACATGAACAATGTCTTTGACTCTTCTATATTTTAACTTTGGTGTGATAAGCCAAGTTTATATCCTGCTTCACCCCCACCTGTGATTCTAGCTACTCTACTTGGCAGGCTGATGCAGGAGGATCCCTTGAGCCCAGGAGTTTGAGGCTGCAGTAAGTTTTCATTGCACCAGGGCACTCCAGCCTAGAGGACAGAACAAGACCTTTCCTCTGTTTAAAAAAACAAAAAGGTGGGGGAAGGAGTCCAGGCTGGGCACAGTGGCTCAGGCCTGTAATCCTAGCACTCTGGCAGGCCAAGGAGGGTGGATCACCTGAGCTCAGGAGTTCGAGACCAACCTGAGCAAGAGCGAGACTCTGTCTCTACTAAAAATGAAAAACTGGCTCAGCACCTGTGGCTCAAGTGGCTAAGGAGCCAGTCATATACACCTAAGGTAGCAGGTTTGAATCCAGCCTAGGCCGCCAAACAACAACGA